CTATATGTCTGTTTTGGACTTGGTAAGTGTTAAAAGAGGAATAATATGAACAAGTCAGCAGAGGAGCTTAGAAGAGGGAGGGTAAAGCATTTGGACCCAAGTGGCACATGAGGTGAGCCTGGGAGGATGAACAGGAGAGAATAAGGGCATTTCTTACAACTGAACATTGAGCTGGAGAAATGACAGAAAATGCAGACAATGTGATAAACTGTGAGTGGACCGATATGAAAGAAGCACAAAATACACAGGTGAGAATGATGAGAAATGAAGCCAGCGCTTTCAGCCATCCTAGAGCCTGTGGAGGCCTGCTGGGAACAGGTCTTCTAAAACAACAAAATGTCTAGGAGGCTGTGGTCCAAGGCCCATTTTTGCTGGCTATAAGTGAGGTCTCTGGAACCAGAGGGAGCACATAGCTCTTCTTAAAACTGAAGGTGTTTATGCTCAAGATGAAACTGAATTCTATCCAGGCAAGAGATGTGCGTATGTGCACAAAGCAAAGAAAAATACAGTAACTCCTGGTGGAAAACTGAACAAAACCAGAGTAACATGGGGAAAGGTAACTCGCGTTCATGGAAACAGTGGCGTGGTTCATGCCAAATTTCAAAGCAACCTTCCCGCTAAGGCCACTGAACACAGAATCTGTGATGCTGTGCCCCTCAAGGATTTAAACTTACTGAAAAGTAAATAAATAAAAATGTGGGTCTGTTCTCTTGTTTAAAAAAAAAAAAAGGAAATGAAGCCAGAAAAATCCAACACATACAGGGTGTGAATAACCTTGGATGCCAGCTTCTTATTCTGAGGTACTTTCCTAAATCCTCATCTTTTTTTTTGAAGATTTGGGAAGATCTTTTTTTACAGTAAAACAAACTTGCTAATTATAGAAACTGTGCATCATTTCCTTTGAAGAAAAAAATTCAAGAGTTCAAAGAAATCCCAGGCACCTACCTATGGATCTGCTTCTTCCAGAGTCTAGGGCATCTCACCAATCAGTAATCTTTTCCTCCCCTTCCCTGTGCTCAGCTGGGCAGCCCACTTCTCACAGTGCAGTTCAGTGAACTCCTGTGAAGGTGGGTAAGGTAGCTGCCAGGTGATGCCAGGGAAGGAGGGGATTCAGCAGTCCAACTACTTCATATATAGACTTGCAGCTAATCTTCCTGTTTTTAGCTCCTCCTGTATCCTAGCTTTCTGAAATACTAGAGTCTCTAATTTTTGAACTTATCTGGTGTATTTTTTGTTACAAACTGGCCTATCTTTTTCATCATTCAGCTTTCTCTGGACTGCCCCATCAGTTACCACTTAACTGCTGCTGCTTTCTAGCTTCCAAAATTTTGTTAAAATTTCTCATCTATTTTTATCTTCTCTCCCATTCTTTTGGTTCCTTGTGGTTTTTATCACTTTAAAAAAAATCCCTTTTCTAAATATACTTCTAAAACTGAGGCAACACACCCGGTTCCATAAACTTCCACATATATTATTATTAATTATGCACATAGCTTTTCACTTCTCCTAGGCAGTGAATGGCCTAAGGACAAGAATGTTCAACTCAACTTTTTACCTCTAACAACAAACATCGTATTTACTATGTAGTAGGTAACAACACTTGCTGAAGTGAACCAAATTGACTGATATACTGAGAAGGTTCTTCTGATGAAGTTCTAGGGCAATTAAAAAAAAGAAAGCTAGTTTAGAATCAGATTATGGATGATGCTAAATGTAATATAGGAGTTTTGACTTCATTATTCAGCTTGCTGTGAAACCACCAAAGGTCTTGTAATAAAAGAAAAAGAATAATGGTGAAGGTTGTATTTTAAAAATATCAATCTGGATCCAATGTATAAGATAAAAGACAGGAGAATACCTTTGAAG